AACGTTTTGTAAGCTTAATGTTTATAATTGAAAACATAAAAAAAACTTTATTTAAGTTTATTTTGCTTGTTGGGATGTTTTTTTCTTTTTTTTTTTTTTGCGGGCGAAACATAAACCATAAACAAGTAAAATTAAAAAATTCAACAAATTTTGAAAAGTAAAATTGGGTTTCTGGCGCATACGAAAATTTGCGCTAATGGTCGATATAGCAAAAATCATATAAGTCTCAATTGCAAAATTTGTACGAATATCTGAAAAAACCCACAAGTTTCAACGAAATTGCATCAAAGTTTCAAAGTCTTTAACCAGCACAATCAAAAAATAAAAACTCGAGTCAAGCAGTTTTAGAGCCCATTAAGTTTTAGTATAATAAAGTTTGTAAGCAACTTACGGATTTGCCATCTAACAAAAAACCCTGATCAGTTTTACATCAGGGGTTATATCTTAAGGTAAAGTTGTGTATTGCAAAAATTTAAAAACGTTTTCGTGGAATTTCGTGATTCGGTTCGAAACCCGAAAAAGTTCTGTTGAAACATCGGGTATATTCAAAACTAGTTTGCAGCACTGAAATAATCAGATAAATTGATATTTCTTCACGTTTGATTTAATGAATTTACAAAAGAAATATATTTTTAGACCAATATAATAATATTGTGTATTTTTCTCTCTTTCATAGGGGTGGACCTGGCCTAAGATGGGGAGCGTGCTATTCACAGCTGTGTTCATAGCGTTACATTTTGCCACCGGCGGCCTGGCCAACCCAGATGCAAAACGTTTATACGACGATCTTCTAAGCAATTACAATCGTTTAATAAGGCCTGTGGGCAATAATTCCGATCGTCTAACGGTCAAAATGGGCCTACGGCTATCGCAGTTAATAGATGTTGTAAGTAGTACATAGTTTAATTAAACAACTAATTATAGATAGCAACAATTCTTATANTCACTCTCCTATGCAAGGATTCGTGAAAATCGCTAACATTTCAAATCCTGCAAGGTTCTATGCAAAGCTGGCAATACCCTTTCACTGCTTGGCATCAGGCTAACTATCCTTAACAAACTACCAAAGCGAACTATAAGAAACTGTAGTACTGCTACTCTGGCGCTGGAAACATTTGTACATATGTAATTTGTTCATTAAACAAATGAGTGCAAAATTAAAAAAAAAAAATAATAATTTTTGAATATTTAATTAAAAATATCCTCGCCAGGATTTTTTTCAGTCAACCCACTCTTACTAATACTGGCTCCCAAGTAAAATGATAATATAGGGGTATATTATATTACACGTTAATGTGTACACTCATATTAAAACGAATAACATTTTTATTTTTTATGAACTACAAATACTCTGATATTTTGAAGTATTTTCTGTTACTCACATTCATAATCTTGCTTTGAATAAAAGTGTACTGAAAAGTCTAAGGTACTGATTACGTGCAAACAAAATCTGGCAACCTTAGGTCTAAAAGGTCTTTATTTCTGAACTATATTTGGGAAGGTTGCCATATGTTTAAATAATTATTTTCAACCTCAAATGAAAGAGTTTAGGAATCTTTAGTTTGAATATTTATATGTTTTTTTTGAGGTTTTGAGTCTACTTCAAAACCCTTTAGTTACAAATATTTAATAAGTTAAAAAATCAAATTCAATTTAATTCATCAGTTAATTTAAACATGCACAATGTCTGAAGAAAGAGTTAAAAAAATATGTTGCAGGTTTACCACCTATTTTAAAAGTCGAATTTTTTTTATTTTACGAAACCTCTATTCACTCAAAAACCGCTGAACGGAGTTATATGAAAACTTTTAAATGTTTTGTTAGGGTTTTCAATAGGGTTGTCACCTGTTTAAAAAGTGATATAGAATTTGGGCAATTTAGCGTCATTCGAGTTTACTATTTTATTTAAATTACCGACAACTTTTACCAAACCGAGAGTTTTGTGGCAAACCCTGAGGCCCCAAGAAACCGATCGTAATATCTGAGGGAAAAATCCAATATGGCAACCCTAGCTGCATGGTTAGCCCCATGATACGAAATCAAGGTAGTTGTATGTCAAAACTTTTGAAACAGAATATTCTTTTTGGAGTAACATAATTTGTATAAATTATAAGCTACCTTTCCACATTGATAGTAATCAAAGAATACATCAGAAGATTTATGGGTAGTGTGTTTATAACTAGTTCAACAAAATTTTAAATACAAAATCAATGCTCGCGGAAATATTTTTTTATTTTTACTGAGCTGTCTTTAACTTACTAATTTTTCTATAAAACAAATTTAAAAAAATATGTATGCTTATTACAAATACACAGTTTCGGTTGAATATCAACGTATGTATGTATATATATTTTTTTAGCAGCGCCTCAATCCCAAAAGTGGTACTGATCCCCATGCTCATCTGAAAGCTTTTTAAAAAAGTTAAAATTTAGTTAAAAGCTGCCCAGCAAACATTTTACCTCGAGCTCCTCTTCCACGGACCACGGAAGGGTACCACAGGTATAGGTTTAAAAATATTTTGCGTCAGCAATGTGTCATCAACATTAGATAGTATTACTCCATATTTATACTTTAATCAATTTAAATGATAAATATTTACATATGAGTTTAATACAATATACCAGATTATGGGTAAGTTGTTTCGTTACCATAACTACTCAGTTGAACCAGCTTAGCTGAATAACTTTTCACGCACCGTTAATCTCCTAGAGTGGTGGCGGCGAACTGATCAACAAGCGATGCCATAAACCAATTCACTTAATTTAGCGCATTACAATTAATAATAATTAATGAGACACAAATAAGCGTGCAAACACACATGTTTCCATGTATGTTAGCGATGTTAAAATTCATTTAAGCTATTCGCCTACAGCAACTCAAATACAAAATCGCTCATGAGTAATGAGAAAAATGCCGTTATTGTGTTAGTCCAAACTTAAACACCTTGAATAACACACGCATGTACGCACAAACGAGATTAAATTGCATTGGAACATTGCAGTGAACTACGCTGTACGCCTCGCTTTATCGCAGCCACAAAATGATTATCGCCTGACCATTTATGCAGGCGATTTGTAAATTGCAATTGCTTTGTTGTATATTTGTTTTATAAAAATTATGTATTTCGTTTTGTGTGCAGATATGCATGGCTAACAATTAGTTTAAGCGGCTATTCATGAATATGAAACATTAGCGCTGTTAATCACTTATCAGATATGCTTCGGGTGTTTAGCAGAATTTTTGTTTTTTTTTTGTGAGCAAATAATTGATTTAGTACTGTCGTTTCTTCAATTCGGTCCCATGTTTGGGACGAAGCTCTCCAATTATACGCGTAACAGACTGCAACGCTTATGCAGAGTAAGGGCCGTTTTCTCATCTAACCTTTAGTTTACCGGCCACTTTATCGTCTCGATATACGAGTTTTCGTTTTCTCATCAGCGCATTAATTTCTCGAATCGATAAACTGTTGCTCACCCGATGAAACCTTTAAAATTTGAACCCATCTTTAAATTTTGGTTGGGTTTTGGTTCATGAGCCAGATATATTAGATATTCCAAACAAGGTTTTGGTTTTTGCTAACAGTTACCTTGCTCTATATTTGCTTATGTTGCATTGAAACCTTCGAAATTTTATGACGAATGTAGTGAAGTTTCACTCTACGGAATAACAAATTTATTTTTACCGCCAAGGTAAGAAAACGAAAACACTTTAAATTGAGGAACGATTTATCTGCCCTGTTAGTAAAGGCAACTTTACTGCTTACATTAGAAAACGGCCCTAACTAGCACACAAATTCGCTTTATTATTTTACCCAGACACTTTTTTGCATTAGCTGCTTTCCATACAACCAGTTCTGTGAGTCTTTTGAAATTATGTGAGAGTCTACAGGAAATAGGCTTTTAATAGCACTGAGGGCGCCCGTAGAACAAGTTCATGCTGCACTCTGGAATCTGCCCAGTTTTAAATAATTATATTGATTTCTTAGGGCCATATCAGGAAACCATAGCATAAGATCGGACGTACAACCGCTACGTACATCCAGAGCACAACTTCTGCATTAATATCACTCATATCACCCCAAAAAGCCGCTCACAGGAGTAATAGGATACAACTTAGTATCCAGTGTATCTACCAAATACCACATTTCTACACTTATCGGCTCACCGCAGATGGAAATAATCCGATTACAAAAATTACTGCATCATAATTGTAGACCGCTCTTTTTACTCCGCCCTGATGTTGAGTCTTAAAATGACAGAGAATCCTCGTCTCTGACAAGCTCTAACATTTATTTAAGGAATACCAATATTTATTCAAGTAATCAACGAGGATACATATATGTGACCATCGTGACTGAAACCTACCGCATGTCATCCTTTACTTCTTTTCTCGTATCAATTGTTTATTCGAAATTACTGAAATCCAATTATTTTTTTCAGCAGCAGTACTCGTGCTTAGCCGAGTAGCCAAAGTGCATACTACGACCCTGTGGGACCAACTTTCGATCGGCCTCGGCAGGCAATGGCAAGCACTAAGCAAAAGTGTAAGCTACATTCCTATGTACATACTCACGTGTCAAAGGTATTTTTGGGTTACACGCGTTATCTCCCTTAATACTTTATCAAATTTAGGCATCGTCTTTATGAGGAGATGCCCATTTTATTTAAGTTATCATTGAGAAAAATTTTATTTAAAAAGGTAAAGGCACTGTATTCAGTCAATCCGGCTCTATGAGTTAAACAATATTTTGAAGGCCAGCTTCGCAGCTCGAGGTGAATAAACAAACTTTTTAATAGGGTTGCCACATTTTATCCTTGGCCGTAAAATAAAACCACACGGTACACTCGCATCGTAGGAAAAAAATACGCCCATCCTTGCCAAATTTTTCTGCTTCACTGTTACCAGGGTTTTATCTATGGACCGCTATCCATACCACGGTAGTTGTATATTTGGATCATATCAATTGAAAATTCAAATTAAATTGTGCAGCACTGCACACTTTTTAGCCGGCTGATACCCCAGAAAACAGTTTCCTACTAGACAGTATACAAATGAGAGTCACCGCGATTCCTTCGAATTATAAAAAACGAATCATCTACGGTTATTCCATCTCCTATTTTCTTTCCTTTCATCGAGAGAATTCGTGAGTTGAGCCGGTTATCAAATGTTAGAGAACGGAGTAGACAATACGCTTTAAAGTTGTTAGGCATTGGGCCGCACAGTGGTCTGAATCCCAAATATAGGTGGACAAAAGTCGAAAAATTAAACTCTTTAAATTATTAAAAACTTTCCAAATCCATTGTGACTTCAAAATTCCAAACTTGGATTCGAGACTCGTAATCAGCTATCTCAAAAACCCCAAAATACTCTGTTTTAATAAAGTTTACTGCTTTCATCATTTTTCTTTTCGACATTTTTCAGCCGTCATTTATAATTTTTGAAATCTGACGTCAGATACGTAATCAGCGACCTCAAAACCATATATAGAAACAAAGTATTGCCGTATTGTGTCAAAGCGTCTTTGATCAAAAACTTTTGTCCACCTAGATTTGGATTTCAGACCACTGTGGGCCGTATGAATAAAAACCAAACAATTGCTTTTTCTTAAAAATTCAGATGTTTTACTTGATTTACTCAAATAAGTTCAATTAAAAGGTCTAACATTTAAAAGAAGCAATTGCTTAATTTTTATTCATAGCATTTTTGAGTGACTGTACCGGCGTTTTGGCCTGGCTGTAGCTTACCATAGAAAACGGCATTGAGGTTCAATGGATCTAAATGAAGCACAGTGTAGATATCCCGTCAGTAATGAGCAAGCAACCTTCCCCATACAGAATTTTCCCTTTATCCAAGATTTATNCTATCCCGTCAGTGAGCAAGCAACCT